CCCGCTCACCCCTCCCTAGTTCTCCCCCGCTCACCCCTCCCTAGTTCAGCCCCCCTGATGAGAGTTAGGAACAAGAAGGCGAACAGATGACGTGGAGCAGTATGATGGAATATTGCATTTTCTTCACGACATCAAAAGGTGAGTTGCATTTTATGATTATAAGCCATAAAGCGTTTTTTGTTGCTGGTGTTAGTTTGCTAATATCTCGGTCGTGGTTTGACAGAGAGATATGTTGAGAATATTTCTGGAATCTGTGTGTTGGCGTGCTTTCTGCTATCTCGGTATTATTTTCGTAAAATAAGTCATTATGCATCATATGCATTTCTTTAGATTCAGAAATCAGGTTCAAGGTAACAGCAGTAATCGTCACTCACTGCACACTAATCTATAAAAGATGTGATTTAAGGAAATGTTCATTTGAAGCCTTGCACACTTGAATATCAAAAGCCCTCAACCGTTTGACCACGAAGCTACCACAGTGAAGAACAGCAACATTCTAATATTAAATGAAATCTTCTCTTCACAGATGACACCAAACCTCCAGCAGTGTGAACACATTCTGGCATTTAGTGCACAGCTAGAAGAGGAATTCAGGACACAAAAGCGTGTAAAATTAAATACATTTTATTATTTAAAAAACAAATCATTCATCCCAGGACTCCTGCTGCATCCATCTGAAGGAAGATACAACATTAGAAACCACATTCAAGCGTATAAAACATTACGATATAATGAAGCACTCACCTGCTCCGGTCTCTGACGAGACTTGATCCTCATCCATTTGGCCTCCGGATGAACACTCTGGGCCTGTGGCTTGTAAGAAGGAGAGGGCCGCTGGGGGGCCATGTAGGCCTGCTTCTGTGCAGGGGGCCGCTGGGGGGCCACGTAGGCCTGCTGCGGCCTCCCGACACTCACTTCCTTCTGGTCAGTGGGTTCCTTCAGCCGTCTGATAGCATAGCCACCAAAGGCCTGAGGGATGTTGTGGGTTCTGGTCGGGGCAAATTTCTGACCAGAGGTCCCGGAACTGCTGGTCCCGGAGTCAGGAACATTCACAGGAACATTCACAGGAACCAGTTTGTTTGGGTATGGGCTCCCAGCCTGGCTGGGGTTATTTCTAGTTCTCTCATTTTGGAGAGATGAGAAATAGGAAGGTTTAGGTGCTACAGAGCCACGATGTGGAGACACCCTTACAGCGCGGCCACTGGCTGAGGTTTTCGTCCGAGCAGGGATCCTTCGTGGCCCAGCAGCACCGTCGCTGGACGACTTCGGATAACCTTTTCCCGGTGTTTCAGAAACAGCTGAAGCTCTCTGTGCTGCTGACTGATGGGAGGCAGGTTTGAAGGAGTAGCCTCCCCTCGGACTCTGTAGAGATCCAGAACTGCTGGACTGATAGTTGCTCGTACTTGGTATACCCTGTTGAGCTGGCCGAGTTCTCTTCTTGCTAATCGGAGTTTGATCGTACCTACCGAGGGAACTACCACTAGCAACAGAAAGGCCAAAGATCTGCTTTTTTGGAGTGTTTTGCACATTTTCCTGATTCAACGTAGTCGTTGGTCGGTTAGGTTTAGACTCAGAGCTGCTCTGCGCCAACATGACCGAAGCATAGCCACCGTTAGCAGTCTGAGGAGAACCAGAGGCCTGTCTGAGTTGATTCTGGGGATAGCTGCCACCAAATCTACCCTGCTGCGAGAAGCCAACATGTGTGTCGCCGGTTTGTCTCTGATCTGCAAGAGAAACAAGAGTATAAATCTACAGCTAGTAAATCACACCAATGAGTAACAGCGACATCTGTGTGTTGCTCACCTTGTGCAGCCCACAGACTACGCACAAGCTCTGCTTGAACCAAGCAAACCAGCAAGATCCTGCACAGAAAACAAGACGTCCGGTCAGAAACAGTTCAGCAACTCAACAAACACTGAAAATAGTTTCAAAAACTTACCCCAAATGAACTCCACAAGCCATTCCTGCTGCGCATGTGTGCAGCAGAGAGGGAGCATTTATTGCAACCTGCATCCAATCACTGCCTGATACATCTCCTGGGACACCTGAGAGTCAATCAGCCAATCAGTGCAGGAAGCTGCAGCTCCACAGCAGAGGCCGTTTGAAATGAGAGAGAGCCGGTGTGAATGTAGGGGAACAGGCATGTCTAGAAGAAGGAATTAAAAATATGCAGTTTAATTATACCACACGTTTGTACTTTTTGTTTTTGTCTGTTTCGTTTTTGTGAAACTCTGAGCGAAAGGGTCGTGCATTAGAATATCAGCCTGCACCTGCTCGGTCAGTATGGTTCGTTTTCCCTTTGAGTGAATGTCTTATTGTGAAGGGCAAACACGTTGCCATTACTGTAGAGTCCCAGGGGAACAAAAACATCCTTCAAATGTGTTTGAATCATAATTATTCATCGTCTTCATTAAGCAATGAAATATTGGCCTCAAGTCACAGCTTTGAGTTGCTCAAAACATTATTCACACAAGAGCACTTCATGTTTACAGGTAGAACAAAAGGCATGGTGCTGTAAACTTTACAGGTGCAGGTGATGAGTTAGTCCTGTGGAAGCTATAAATAGCCTCAGTCCAATAGAATGACAGCTGGTCAGTTGAAGAACCTCGTCGATGCAACATCTCATTTCTTCTTCACTGCTGCTGGAGCGGACACACTTCTCCATATGCAAACGCATGTTTAGTCTTTTCACCCGTGGGAGTGGAAACGAGGCTCCACAATGAATGAGATGTTGAAACAGAACCAGGCTCACGTGCACCTTTACAAAGTGTTTGTGCGTCCACACAGCTGTCTGCGTCCAATAGCGGTCATGTGGCTAGCAGTTAGCATGTGGGACCAGAGAACACTGAATCCTCATTGAGGATAAATATATTAAAAAACAAGCTACAAAGTAACACCTCGGGGAAATGCCAATTAAGACTTTTTAAGGGTCTTAATTGCAGCTTGATTATTAACCTTTAACACTGTTAAAGGTGTTTATTCTCTGACTGACCCGTTACAACTGAGCTACTTTCTTCCATACAGTTCAGGGACGCACAAGACACAGATTTTATTAAAAAGAACGGTCACAATCAAAGCAAATGAGGCCAAAGTATGCCGAACTTATTCATTATTTGTGTAGATTTCTGATGGATCCTACATTTCCCACAATGCATCTGTTTAACATGTGTTTCTGTGAGAGCCTTCTGATGCCCAGGTCCATAACGCACACAGGCTTCGTGTTAGAAACGTGTCGTCTCCAAACTACCCTGATGACATCACCATGACATCACCAGGGGGTATTTATTCTCAAGACCAACAGGAGATGTAGTTCCCCTTTAATTGACTGATATTAAATAATCAATAGATCGATACAGAGCTGTGACATGTCAGGAAATAGTGAAACCTGAGACGCATAGTTTACTACAGCCGAAGATCACGAAGTCCAAAACACAATTTAAAATGATATAAAACACTTTGGAGAAATATTTGGCTTTTTTTTTGCTTGATTACCGTCTGAAACTATCAACCAAAATTTATGTAAAATCATTTTTCGTGGGTTAAATAATCATTTTCGTAGAAAGCCAGCCGGTTATCAAACATTCTGTCATGAAGTCTTTGAGTCATCAGACTCAATTCTTTCCACAGGTCAGAGTTCATTTCTTAATTGAACTCCTCGTTTCCTCCGCAGGAGTCGATGCTTCCCTTTGACTCCCCGACAGGAAACAGGAAACAGGAAACCGTCCGTGCAGAAGCAGAGCTCATGCCGGAGAGCTTCAGGACAGCAGGCGAGACGGATAGTTGACAAAACAGCGGAAGTCGTTGGACAAGTTTCTGTTGTGTTCCGGGAGGAAGCTGCACATGGTGACGCCCAGAAGCTCTTTGGCCAGTTTCTCCATCACGGCTCCTTCAGGAACAGAAAATAATAAAACATAACACAGGAAGTAATCTGTTGCTGCTCCATGTCTCGACTAGAATACAGGGTTAACTATTTAAACCTGTACACATATGATTATTAATAACCTCTCACCTGTACACATATG